GCTGCACCAACGTTACACATTCCTGACTAGATGCCCTCAAGAACAAGTAGGAGGCATCAGCAAAGAATAAATGGGAAATGCTAGGACTCCGTGGATTAACTTTAACCCCTGCCAATCGCTTCTCGTCAACAGCCTGCCTTAGAAGGGCGGCAAAACCCTCCGAGCATATCGCAAATAACAAAGGAGATAATGGATCCCCTTGCCGTAATCCCCTCGTTGACCCAAAGTAACCGGCAGGCGAACCATTCATCATCACAGAGAATGTCGCTGTAGAAATGCATTCCTGTACCCAGCCAACCCATGGCTGACTAAAACCCATCTTAGACATGACCGCGAATAGAAAATCCCACTCTACTCTATCATAGGCCTTTTCCATGTCGACCTTCAGAGCAAGAAAGGATTTCTTTCCACGCTTCTTAATCTTAAGATAGTGCATAACTTCATGCCCAATTAGTACATTGTCCACAATCTGACGACCCCGTATAAACCCATTCTGCTCCGGTGTGATAATGGAAGGCAGAACAATGGACATCCGTTCCGCCATGATTTTAGAAATGATCTTGTAAAATAACTGACACAGGCTAATGGGCCTAATCTGTTTCATGGACTCCACTGCATCCACCTTAGGAACTAAAGTCAACCAGGTGTGGTTAAAGCTCTTCAACAGTCGTCCTGACCGGAAGAACGATTGCACTGCCTCCACCACCTCCCCGCCAATGATATCCCAATAGGCCCGATAGAATTTTCCAGTAAAACTGTCTGATCCCGGGGCCTGAGTAGCCCCAATAGAAAAAACAGCTCCTCTAATTTCTCCCTCCGAAACGTCCGCCGTAAGGAGCCTATTCATTTCCTCAGAGACTAGCTCAGGAATAGGAAGACCTGCTACCCGAGCCCCCACATCTGGCACTTGTCGCTCAAATGTAAATAGCTCAGTATAAAAATCCCCTGCCACTCTCCCCTTAGGACCTTCCTCTGTCACCCAGTCCCCATTCCTGTCCCGTAGGCCCTCAATATAATTACTCCGTCGTCGCGCTCGAGTAACTGTATGAAAATAAGCAGAGTTTTGGTCCCCCTTGTCCAGCCATTTAACGCGCGACTTCTGTCTCCAGAATTCCTCCTCTGCAGCCCATTGCTTAGACAGTTCCTTCTCAAGCACACCAATTCGGTCCCAGTCAGTACCTACTCCCTCTTTCAACGCTTCGATTTCAGTCTGTAGAATTCGAATGTTGCGAGCCGAATTATTCGTCCCCGCCCGGCTCCAATCAAAAAGCAAATGTCTAAGAGCTTTCAAACGCTGTCAAAGACGAAACATCGGAGATCCAGTATACGTTTGCTTCCAAACATAACTGACCAAAAGCCTCGTTTCCGGGTTCTCCACCCATCTCGAGTCAAAACGGAACAAAGGCTTCTTCAACCGAGTAAATGGTTTGTCGGCCACTAGAAGTGCACGATGATCTGACCCCAAATCAGTACAGTGTTTCACCAACGAATTAGGAAACTTTTCCGCCCAAAGTGGAGAAACCACTACCCGGTCCAATCGTTCCGTAACACACACCGCACCCATTCTCCTGTTAGACCAGGTAAATTGCGGACCTGAGAACCCAATATCCTGAAGAGCCAGCATGTTTATCATCTCCCTAACCGCCACTAATCCATTTGGATCCCACACACGTCCACCTGCTTTCTCATTAGCTTCCAATACACAATTCATATCACCCAATATAGCATAAGGTACTGTTAATTGCAAACAATAATGGTAAAGCACATTCACCTGGTGAGACCGAATGGCTACATCAGAAGAAAGATACACACACGCAGACATAATCAAATTGACCACTTTCATTACCAACGCCAAATGACACAAAAAAGGAATCATGTTCCATTACAGCGAGGTCAATCCCTCCCTCCCAAGCAAGAGCTAAACCCCCCGCTGCATTAACAGCATCAACAAGAAAGAAATTTTGAAATTCTAAACCCCTCATCCGACGGGTTACTACTCGCCTACAAGACTTCGTTTCCGAAAGAAAGACAATCTCTGGCTTATTCGACCGACACAGACCTACTAAGGATTGAAACGTAAGAGAAGGTCCGATACCTCTTACGTTCCAAGCGACCATCTTCATTTGGCTGGGTGGGACCACTCCTGGCTGGTTGCCTCCACCTCAGATTGAACACATTTCTTTTTAACCGGAGTAGGGTCAAACTGCAGACCCGACACTTCACCCGCTGCCCTCTTCCTCTCCTCAACATCCATCGGATCAGGAGCGGTCATTCTGAAGACCTCCTTCCCCTGCCGCTGCACCACCTCTGTTGGCAAATTCCCCCCAGCTTTATTTGATTGGCGGCTGTGAGGTCGCCGAGCCTCAAATCGCTGATGCTGCTTCACACCATATTCCTTACCCTTCTCAGCCCCTTTAGCATACTGCTGGACCGCATCATGTCCATTCTTCCCTTTCCCCTTTGATGAGTGGCCACGAGGGACAATATGCCCACTGCCCACCCCAACCATATTCCCCCGCTGAACCTGCCCATGTCCCTGCTTCTACTGTACATCTCGGTCCAAACTCCCATGAGCTGGTAGAGCAATTACCACCGGTTTGCCCTGGTTATCCCCAGCCACCTCCAAGCTATCATGTCCCCTCTTCTGCTTCCCACTCCCCCCACATTAGGGTTCACCCAAACTGACGACTGAGACGGCTGCCGAAGGGGGAGTGGCACGAACTCTGTCTCATCCACCCGGTATCCGATGATATCCGTGCTAAGTTCTGGGCCATAATGCTCAATTCCCACCGGGTCCGGAAAAGTGCAATTGGGAGCTGTATGTCTCAATCGCCCACAGTGGTAACACAGCAGCGGGAGGAATTCATACACAAGAGTAACCCAGAATTCCCCAACCATAGGATTACTAGCATAAACCTGTGATCGTAAAGGTTGAGTTACATCCAGCAGCACCTTCGTCTTGATGAAGTGGCCTGAGATTCCTTGGATAGCATATGCTCCAGCCTCCAACACCTTCCCGAGTTTCGCCCCAGCAACACGTTTACCAAAAGCCACCGTTCGGCAGTGGTTGGGAATCCCCCACATCTGGACCCAGAATGGAACCAGGATGAACAAATCCACCAGCTGTTTTGTTATCTGACTCCAAGGCTTCAATTGTAGGACACGTTCCTTCGCTGTCCATGGCGTGCGCTGCAGCACCCAGTCCCTATCAGCTTCATCAGCAAAGAAGAATTGAAACAATCCCCTCTCCGCAGCAAGTACCCTGACCTCCACCGCACAAGACCACGCGCCATTCACAGCCTTGCTGATGACCGCCAAGCTAGGGGGATTGTCCATAAACAATCTCCCCAAGAGACTCAACTTCGCCCATTGAACCCCAGTAGCCACATCTTCCATTGTGAATTCCACAATCTGATCCATGGCTAATGCCTGAATCCCAGCCGCTACTTCATCGACCTTCATCGCCTCCACCCTGGCCCCAACCTCTGCTTCCGCCTCCTTCCCTTGCTCAACTTGGGTCATTGGGGCTGTCACAACCATCGCATCCATAGCTATGGGGCCTTCCTTCTGTTCGACAGACTCAACAACATTGGAGGTGTTCATCTCCTTCGCTTCTCCAGCATTAATCATTGTCTTCTGCCTCTGCAGTCTCTGGATAAACCAGAACACCCCCCCCCCCAAAAGTCCAATTAGGACTACCATTGGGATGCAAAACAAACCAAATATCCCAACCCAGCCATACCAAAGGAAGGTAATCATACCTTGCAGATATCGCCGTCGATGTGGAAAACGCTTCGGTCGCCGATAAATCTTCCACCACCGCAAAAACCGAGTTCTCGTTGGTGGGTTCGCAAACTTCAACTGAGAGACTATATAAGTCCACTCTGGTGCTAGTCGAAAAACCGTACTCTGGACGGTCTCTCGATGCGGGTTTATCCTCCCCGATTGTCGAATCTGAACATATCGGGAGAGCAAATCAATTCCCCCGTTTGCCCGATTAATTCTCGTCCTACCTCCTGTAGGAGTCCATCGTCTAGTCTCCTGCACAACCTCACCTTCTCTGGGATAAGAGGGGAGGATCTTTGATTGAATCGCCATCCGCGGCAGCCATTGGATTGCTCTCGCGAAAACCCTAGCGACGACAGTCAGCCAGACGAAGAGAGAGAAGAGAGCTTTTCTCATCCCGCTTTTTTTTCTTAGCTAAATCCGCCACCTCGTCGTTCGTTCACAGGATAGGTAGGGCTGGGTTAGGTGGTTTAGGAATTAAAAGGTAATATGTTTTTTTTAATGTGTTTAGAATTTTAAATATTATTTATTATTATTATATAATTGACACGTCACTTATTAACGGCCAACTATGAGAGTTGATCGCCACGTAGGATAAAGATAACAGAATTGGACAGAGAGTGATCAAACTTGAACCACTTAACTAATTTCAGTGACCATGAATGAAATTAAATATTTCTAGTGACTAAACGTGAACCTTTTTAGTAAATCCAGTGACCAAATTTACAATTTACCCGAATCTTAATTATACCAAGTGAGTGAGTGAATTTTAGAGCAAAACCCATCCGACCGGTTGCCCACCCTTACTTACCAATTACCATTGTGTCATGTGTACTCATAACTAGGGCTGGAAGTTCGGTTATCGGTTGCCGGTTAACCGGTCGGTTAAATCGATAACTGACGATTACCTGTTAACCGACTAACCGAAAATTGTAAAATCGGGTGGTGTTCGGTAGCGGGGCTAGCTATGCCGGTTAACCGGCTAACCGGCAAAGCTAACCCCCTTCCCTCAATCGTAAAACAACCACCTCCTCTTCCGCCTAAACCCTAATTTCGGCTACGCCCCTCAAAATTCTGCTCCAAATCCCATTCTCCACAGTCAAACGCTGCGTCCAAATATATATGCTTTCTCCCTCCAAACGCTGCGTTCCACTAAGCTTCTCCACTAAAAGAATCACTGCCCAGCTGCTCTCCAATTCCCTTCCGCCAATGCTCTTTACTCAAGGACAAAGGAGTTGGTCCATTTTAATCCAAGAATATCTCCTCTGCATCGCGAGACGCGAAGTCTCTCCCAGTCTCCCTGTCGCCTGCCCAACCCTCCTCCATCGACCATCTCCCTCCACTGGCGGCGCTCCTCCTTTCCCCTCTATCGACCATCTCCCTCCCCGACTGCCGCGACGACGACGACCCTTGCTCCGCCAACGCGAAGTCGCCGCTAGCCATCCCCTTCCTTCCGCCACCGCGACCTCGCCTCGGCCTCATCTGCTCGCAGCCAGCAGTCCTTCGCCGGCGCCATTCCTTTCCGGCGACCAGTGCCCCTCTGCGTAGGCCTGCACCCCCGCCATTAAAACCGGTTAATATGGTCTGTTGCGGTTATCACGGTTAACCGAGCAACTAACTGGTAACCGACCGGTCGGTTGTCGGCTAACCGATGCATTCCGTCGGGCGGTTGGCGGTTGACGAGGCTAGCGCCGCGGTTAACCGGTAATCGAAGTTTCGGTTATCGATTATAACCGATATAACCGAAAATCCAGCCCTACTCATAACCTGTCCCGGTCCGATTCGCGTACTTGATTGGTCTAAGAAACGGCCTGCCCTGACGACCCATTGACAAAGTGCATGATCAAATCCCCGGTGCCCACTGCCCAGCGAGCTAGAGCCTAGAAGTGGCGAAATAACGAAGTGAAGGAGTTGGAGAGAAATGACGACAGCGCCGATGGCAGTTCCATGGAAACAGCTTCTCCTGACAGCGTTAGAGTCCAACGCACACCTCAAGCATTCTTCGTTTCTTCAGCTCGTGAGCTCTACCTCATCGCTAGTTACAAAATAAACCGGTGGTTGATAGCTCTGAGTTTCTAATCGTTCCTCTTCCGATGGATTTTCAGGCGACAATTGGTTGCAACGGTAGACCTTCGAACCGCACTGTCGTTTTCAGGTACTTCCTTCTCTCACAATGTGGACGATCGTGCGCTCTTTGAGTCATGGTTTGTTTCTTGTTGCACAGAGGATTTGAAGAGAGCAGCGATAAAATTCAAATCAACACCGATTCTCGTACTCGGAAGGTTCGGATTGTGCTTTTTCTTCTTCTTTCTTTCGTTCTCTATTGCAGGACTTGATGTTTACCTGAGTCTTGCAGATTGAAGAACTAAAGCGGTGTTCATATGCAGAGGTATTTATTCTTACTTCCTTAGGCACTCCTGTTAAACTGTCATGTAACTGGTGGAGGAACTCTGCTGATTTCAGAATCTAAGTCTTTTAATGTTCAATTCCAGATATGTTGGTACTTTACTGACTCTTGGGAGCAATTCCGGATCAGTGGACTAGTTGATATAATTGATGGTTCCAGTTCCGATCCTGCAAAAGTTGAGGTAATATTTTAAATGTGGCTAGCCTTGTGTTGTGCTTTTTTAACCATCACGTTAGGAAGTTCAACAGTTGATAATTCAATTGTAAATTCATTGTTAGCAACGACATAGATCCTGGTTTGCAAGTTCAGTGAGATCTAGAATGCAATACCTGGGGCCTAATCCAGGTCTTCCAGCTTTAACTGAGCATCCTCACCAAGAACTCGTCCTTGATCCTTCTTCTGGCCCGGTTGCTGCATTCTGCCTTCTGGTTTTAGATCCCAATGAGGTTCCAAATATTCTATTCTTCAGTTTTTTTAACTGATTGCATGTGCTTATGTTCGTAGCTCCGTTGAAAATTTGTTTTAAGATTTCTTCTTCTCCTCCCACAGGTTGATTACTTGAATCTGAAGACTAGCGAGAGAGTAATGTTTACCACTAGCACAAGCGTTAGTGGAGAAAAGTGCTGGAATTCAGAGAAGATCAACCCTTAAACTACTCAAGCAAGTTATAAATCCTTGTCAAACTCCAAATCTGTTTTTACAACTTACGATTGGTTAGCACCTTGTGCAAATTGATGTACGCTTCTAAGGCTGTGTTGTATGCAACAAGTCTGGTGAATACCACTAAGAACCAGGAAATGGATAAAGCCTACTCTAGCACTTGTTGGGTGGGGCCCCAGAATGTTTAGATTACTCGAAAAGTTTTGTAGTGGAACTTGTACGATCTGTCAGTTTACTGGGAAGCGGTATCTTGTACACTCGCAATTGTTACTAGTCAGCAAACAGCAATATCCCATTTACTGTCTTCCATACTCATTGGTTCAGCGTAGTTTGTGTGCTGTGCAGTACCTATATATGTCTTACGACTCTATTGTTTGATTCTGCTGACAACTATCATAGCACATCAGACTTCCTGTACTACATTCAGATCAGTACCACCTTTGCTATGACTATCTGGAGTATTATTTCATTACATATTTTTTATTTAGTACAAGTCGTGCTGGCTGCTAGTTGAATATCGAATTTCTAGGCAAGTTTTCTCATCCTTTGTTTGAGATGATGCAAAGCATGGAATTGGTGGAGCTACGGCGACTACTCCCCTGATTGAGGTATGTTTTGAATCCTATTATTTCTAATTCTATTTTTCGGTGACTTCATCCTGGCTGGCATATGATTATAGAATCCTTACTGCTTGTTAACCTATATATATATATGACTACTCTTTGCCTCCAAGCTCTGTGCCCTCTTCTTGTTGAAATTAGCCCCCAATTTAGGAATTTGATGACTTTCAGCCATCTTCCAAGCCGTCGGTGTCATGATCTACTGAGTCATCATTCATACTACTGTTGCCTTTATTTTCCACAGACTGACTGGTACAGAACTTGTTAGCCCCAATTCATTTGATTTCTTTATAGTGAAATTCAGCAACTAAGATCGTCGTTGTGGTGCTTCTTGTAGATTCACAATGATTATATTCACCATAATCAACTGAATGATCTATTGCCAGATAGGACACACTGAATAACTGTTGCATGCATATACTAAATACTGTTGATAAATAAAATCCTGGTCCATTTATGTATTTATATAGGCTAGTTACATGAAAAGCTAGTAAATAAGTTATTCAATGCTTGCTGACTCTCTTGGGTTTCCAATGACCTAAATTGAAGCTTTTGCTTGCATTTGAATGAATGGTCTGTATACCTTCCTGCTGATTTCCAGTTGAAGTTCGTTACTGCATACTCTAGATTGCTTTGTTATTATTGTGAAGGGAATGACCCTTTTCACCTTAAGAGTAAGCGAAGAACAAGAACAAAAAACATTTGCATATGCAACAAGCAGGCGAAGAAAGTTGCATTTCTATTATACAACACCATCGTCTAGTTGCTTAAACCACACAGATTGGATGAAAGACTATAAATCATTCATATAGCACACTTTTTCAAAAGAATTGCAATCATTAGCATATCACAGTGACAGTTTTTTCCGGCACTTCTTTTAAAAATCCAAGCAGCTCTAGCAACGCGGGAGGTCTGCAGGAGGATGAGGAAGTGTCTCTAAGTGCCCAACCCCATTCTTAACTATCAGAGCTGTAGCTAATCCCCATGACTGATGTAGGTCAAAGTGGCAATGGATGAACCAAACCCCTACATTTTTACAAGAAGATCAAAATTAAATCAAGTGCCAACATTTTATTTACTAGACAAGACACTCATTATTTTCTACCACGAAAAGAATTCTACAGCCTTACCTGGATTGTCAGCCTTGAATCTGATGGCAGCCCAACCGCCTACTGGAACTCCAATTGTGTTCATGTATGGGGGGTCAACCAAATTGAGATTAGCTGTTTGAGGATTGTAGTTCCCACTTCCATATCCTACGACATAGAAACTATAGCCATGGAGATGAATAGGGTGATTCTCTGTTGTAACTGTCCCAGTGTCCTGCAAGATGATTTGTACCCTGGTCCCATACTCAATCACCTTGGTCCTAGTCCCGTTCATTGCATTGGTGTCATTAGGAGCACTGTTAGGTGCTCCATTCACAAAGTCATAGAATCTAAGGGGTGCCGCTGGGAAATCGGGAGTGAAATAATCTTCAAATCCTTTGTAGTAGGACTCCAGAACCGAAACCGTGGGCTTAATGAAACTTATGTTGTTCATGGAAGCTGCCATTGTTCCATTGTTCATACCCTGACAGTTTTGCTGGGGCGTTGGGGAACGGCACTTATTGACATTCAACCCAATAGTGAGAAAAAGTGTGGCGTCAATCTCTTTTGGAACATCATCCTTTGTGTTAAGACCTTTTAATCCGTCCATCACTGTCTTCACTGCTAAATTGTCATTGATGTTTGGCAGTCTGGCAGGCAATGATAAGCTGCTAGGCACTGCTCCTGAGTACTGGAAGTAAGCTACAGATGTTATGTTCTGAAATTGGGCATTCCTGGCTGAGATGTAAGGACCTATGGCCATGGAATATCTTGCTATTGGCTGGTCAGCCTTGACCAGTACATTTAGCGTCTGGCCCGGTCCTAGCATTACACGGTCGGTGGTGAAGGGCTTTGTGTATTCTGCATCTGCTTCTACTATTGTCAATTTGTGATTTGCAATAGCAAAGAAGTTCTCTGTGTTTAAACCTGCATTTATTAGCCTCAACAAGTATGTCTTCCCCGGGACGAGATCTATCTTATACACATCTGAACAAAAATAACAGCAATTTGTCACTATTAAACTACTACATAATGACCGCAGGACCTGATTGAAGTGAGGAACTTTGAACTGAAATCTTTTGAGAGATATATCCATGTACAAACATGGCATATAATGAGTACTTTATCTTAACATATTATATAGGATTTGGTACAGAAAGTAGGGAACAGTATTATAGCATACTAATTTTCTTTAGAATAACATTAAAGTATAGAACCAGTGGTTTGCTGATTCAGTTAGCTTTCATAAAAGTCAACTGAGTATTGGGAGCTTTTCTCTTTTTTTGTGTTGCTTCCTTGCCTTGGTATGATCATTCCACAACCAATTTTATACTAAGTTCAGGCCAATGATTGTTTTGTTTCCCCCTTTTCTTTCTCATATCGGCATACCCTTTAGCCATGATAATAATATTGCGAACTTTAGGTATTATTCACTTCATAACACTGATAAGCAATATTACCATTGGTAGAGCAGTTGTAGTTAGGGCCAGGATGACCATTAATGGTATAAGCATTAGCGGGCGGGGGCACTCCTCCACTTGCTATGACTTGGCGTTCTAGTTGCACTATATCCTGGCTCCAGTATTCCCCTGGAAAAAGTTTCATTGTATGCTTCATTAATTCAATAGCTAGAGCAAAAAGAGGAGGGAGTCTGCTTACAGATGATTTTTCTTTTTACCCAGGATTATGATGTGCTCTTCATATGGAAAAGGAAAAGGGTAAGGTACCCCGGCCTTTGGGTAAACTATAAGGGCACCATAAACGGTGGCCCTAAGCCAAGACACATGTGCATGCCAAAAGAAGGTGCCCCGTTGCTTCACCATGGTAAACTCATAGGTAAAACTCTGGCCAGGAGTGATCGGACACTGTGTAATATAGGAAGGTCCATCAAACCAGCACGACAGTATCTGCCTTACTCCGTGCCTAGAGAAGATAACAGAGCAAAGTCAGAGAACCTTCTACTGTTAGGCTAACCTGTTGCAGTTTAGCTAAAGGAATAACTCACCAGTGGATGGTAGCATTGTAAGGAGACAAGTTTGTGACTTTAATGATCAACCTGTCTCCTTCTTGAGCATAGACCACTGGACCAGGAAACATGTTGTTGACTGTGACAATCTCGTTCGAGTTGCACAGTTTGTTCACCCTTGTGGTTTGTATCTGTCAAACACGAAGCAGGTGTGAATCATAGTGATGACTTGCATCCTATGGCAGAGAACTGAAAAATTATATATAGCAGTGAGTACAGATTAGTTATGGACTAGTTTCCAGACCTTGAAGTCATAGAACCTGGTCGTTGTCCCTTGAGGCCACTGTTTAGCCGCCGGATAAGCAGGGAAGGTTATTCCAAACCATATGAGGAGCCAAGTGGCTAGTCTAGGAAACATTTTGAGAAGAGGTGGAAAGAAGCAGATCTCAAAAGAAAGAGAAGAGGATTGTGGTTTGTAGTATCAACTGTAGTGTTGGATTCTTAAATAGAGTTTTTGATGAAGCAGGGAAGCACCACCATCTTCAATTTCTTGTGTACATGAGGAGGGCAGAAAGTGACAGTCTTGTGCAGAATAGTGGGTATTAGGTTGTTTTGTCATCAGCTTTCATGACCCTGCTGCTGGCATGGGTACGTACGTGATAATAAGGTGTTGGGGGAGTGTTTATTCAATACCATGAGTTTACCTTTCCTCTGTTAGTATGGTTTTGAAACTTCTGCTCTCTCCGTTTCTATTGTGGGGGAAAAGTGTTTTTCTTGTTTCTTTCTGGAACAGTGTTGCTGTTGAATCATCATGACATTTGACTGGGATACAAAAAAGGGCACGAGAAGATCAAAGCCTGCTTCTCAGCGTCAAGTCTAATTCAATGCCCCAGCCAGGCCAGGTAAGTTAGTTACTCTCTACTCTACATCCAATTAATCCCTCAAGTAGTCTTATGGATATCATTTTGGTTCTGTGGTATTTTGTTTTTTGTATGTGGCATTTCAGCTTGAAATGTGGTAATATTATCTTGTTTGGATTGAACATTTACATGTTTTGCTATTTCACTGCTTAAAAGAAGGGAGGAGAGAGTTAATTGAAATGTCTAGGCGGAGGAGGTATTTCAATTGACTCATTCTCCTTCATTTCAATTGCCGGGGCCCCAAAATACAACAATCCAATTTTTGTTTGCCAAACGAGTTATTTCGGCTGAAATAACTCATCCAAACGACCCGTTATTAATTATTGTTTTCTTCAGTATAATTTACTGCCTTAAACCACATGAAGCCATGCTAGCTGCATCTAAACGAAGTAATTAATTTTTAATATCATGAGCCTCGCGCTGTTGTCAACATGCACACCTTCCTGTATTCTTAACAAAAACTAGACTCACGGTGACGGTGAGAGGAGAAGCAAAAGCAAGCAGTAGGTACGCAACTGGCACAAAAGAAACCTTTATTTACATGGCAACCAGCAAATGTAGTGTCTGTTGTAGTGTTGAGGTTTTGTTTGACATGTCTCTGACCTAGAAATTAATGACAGGAGGCACGGATGGTGCACGCCTGCCTGCCTGCCTCAATTCAGAAATCAGAAGCTCACACCACACCAGTTCTCTTTTCAGATGACACTTTCAGCTAATTAAGCGTCAGAAAAGACCCATCATTTTGTCACTTTGCAATGATAATAAGAAGAGGGTCTTGGTTTTGCACCCTGCCGCCCGTTATTTGTTGGTTGGTCATCATCTGATGAGTTACGAGCTAGCTAGTTTTGATTAATCTGGTCATTAATTCCCCATTTGCATTATTGAAAAGACAGTAGCTAGATCGAGGTTCTAACCATGCATTGCATTTGCACTTGCGTGTGCAGTAGTAGTGCTGTTTCTTCTTGCTGGACCAGGCGACGACTGAGCTAGCTAGCTATATATATATATATATATATATATATATATTGATGGGAGCAGTTCGCCTCAACATCATGCATTGCATGCCACGTACTACTGAAGGAAGTAAGTCAGGATCCAGCTCTTGCCTTCCACATCAAACTTCTGTTTCTTCTTTCTTCCTGCATGAGCTTTATTTTGAATTTTGATAGCTTTCTTGATAGTTTGTTTAGTTTAATCTGCATGAGTTGCCGACCTGCTAGAATAAACAGCAATTAACTCCTTAGTCATCCTTTAGACCTTGTTCTCTCTTTCTTTGTTTGCTTCCACCTTTCACAATCCAGGCCTCTCTCACCAGATACGTCGTTCACGAATATAGCAATTAATATTTGCCTGCATGCAAATGCTTCCGCCAGCACCTCTACAGCTCTACTCTTATCTACTCCTTTATTTATTTTTATATATATAAGCGAAAGAACAGACCAAAACAAAACATGAAAAGAAAAGAAAAGAAAAGAAAAGCTCACTGTAAATATATATATCCCAAAGAGTAAAACTCATGACGCAAGGTTTTAGTTATGAAGAGTTGACCCTGGAGATTATTTAATACCAGCACTGACTACTACATCATAACTAACCTCTTCAACTTGTTCGATCCACAGATCTAGTCGATAACTAATCTTGTTAGATAATATGCAAAGAAAACGAAATGGAGATTGACACAAATTTATGTGGTTTCCTCGTTAAGTATAAATAAGACTAGTCCACGACCTAAAGTTCATGCATGTATATATATACTACTGATCCTAGGGCAACACGGATGTGTACCTTGTTCTTGGGCTACACGAAACCATATCCAACTCCCTACATATGGGTTGTAAGTTGTAACCACTATCTACAATTACAAGTATGTCATTTAACACCCTCCCCAAATTGACGAGGGTTACACACCATCAATTTGCCAGCCAGGTAAGAATGACGACTAGCAGTGAAGGTCTTCGTAAACAAATCAACCAACTTATCTTCAGATGAGATGTAGAAGATATGATAGTGCCACCACGAACAAAGTCTCGAATATAGTGAACATCAACCTCAATATGTTTGGTGTGATCTTGCAGAACCAGATTCGTTGCAATACGAATGGCATTGGTATTGTCAACATAGAGCTCCAGAGAAACTGTACATGCCACACCCAACCACTCCAATTCAAAAGTAACATCAGACAAAGCACGATATTCAGCTTCTATAGATGACTTAGAGACTCGATCTTCTTGTACCGTAATGATATAACCGAACCACATTGTCGAACACACTATCCAGTAGTAGAACGTCGAGTATCAACACAACTGACATAGTTGGAATCAGAGAATGCCTGAAGTACAAGTAACTTGTTTGAGGGAAGAAGCAACCCAACTTTCTATGTACCAAGGAGTAGACATGGATTGACTCACAATCAGTATATCATAAGCAATGTCTTGACGTGTAGACACAAAGTGAATCAAACCGCAGACCATGCTATGATAGTTCTTTTCTCCATCCACGAGCAATCTCTCAAATTCCCTCCCCAACATCGAATTAAGTTCCATGAGAGTTGTGACATGGATACACACGTCAAACTGGGCTGCCTCAAGCAAATCATCAATATACTTGTCTAACGTAGAAGAATCCCCTCTCGAGTGCGTGTACCTTCCAACACCAAGTAATGGGAGAGGGACCCAAGTTCATTAAGATGAAAAGACTTATGTAGGCCCTCTGTGAGTAGCTGAATTCCCTCAACATCATCCCCAGAAATAGTGTTGGGCATGCGTGTGAGTCACCCGCGGGTTTGGGCCGATCTGTTTGCATTTTACCCGAATTTTGTTATGTGGGTGGTCTGTGGGTGGGTAACGGGTTGTGTTGGGAGATATTCGTCGGGTGGCAGGTAGGTTGTGGGCGGTTGCGGGTGACCTGCTCAACTCGACAGCAAAATGAACAAAGTTGTTGGCGTTGGAGAGTAGAGAGTAGAGAGTGGAGACGCTGACAAAAACTACAACTACTCCCAGATATTGAATCTCAAAGCCAATCTTCCAAATTTTGACTTCCCTCTTCTTCCCTTTATTTTTTCCTCTGATTCTTGTGCCCAAATCATCTCTCTTTCTTCCATCGAATTATTTTCTTAGTTTTGTGCACCCAATAATCATCTCAATCCGTATAAAATAATTTATATCCAATTTCAGAACTAATTCTACATTTTTTCTTTCTATTCCATCTTCTTGTTTCCACCCTATAACTCTCCACCAATTATCTTGCCAATGTAGTCAAAAGCGAGTTTCTACGTAGAAACGTTTTGGTGATCTAGAAACGTAAAACCGTAAGTTTTTTTAAGTTTTAAAGCGGAGTTTTTAACTACATAAGTTGTACAAACTCAGATTTTGTATAGAAGCGTTTTAGTGACCTAAAAACATAAAATCGCAAGTTTTAAAGTTTTAAAGTGCGATTTTGACTACATTAATCTTGCCACTTGAAGTGAATCTCAAATTTGGAGGGTGAATGGATGTTGAAATGGATTTTTATTTTACATATTGACATTACACAGGAGGTTCTGAAATATAAATGGATCATATCAAGTTGACTCCTTTATATTATTTACATTGTGATGTGGGTGAACCCACAAACCCACCCGCATCATCCGCCATCGCCCGATCCAACCCAAGACTAAATGTGGGTGGGTGGTGGGTTAAAAAGTGTCAATCCATTCAAGCGCGGATGAGTGCATTTTATGGTCAAAATCCACCCAACCCACCCAATTCCCACCCCTACCCAGAAGCAATCATATCATCGACATAAAGAAGCATCACAACTAGACCACGAGAAGTCGAACGAGTGAAGGAGTGATCATTAACACCCTGTCGAAAATCAAGAGCCAGAATGGTAGAATGGAAATTTTCAAACCAAGTCCTCGATGCATGTTTCAACCCATAAATGGAACGATGCAATAAGAAGACCCGATCTGACGTGCCCAACAAATAACCGGGAGGCTGCTCCTTAAAATCCATTTCTTTCAACTCACCTTGTAGAAACGCATATTTAATGTCAAGCTGATATAAGGGCCAACCATGAAGTAATACGACAACGAGAAGAGTGCAAACAAACACAATCTTCACAACCGGAGCGAAGGTTTCTTCAAAATCCACCTCATACGCTTGACTAAAATATCCTTTAGGATCAGAATGAACTGCACGAACTGTCCTATCAAATTGAATTTTGATCATATTCAAAAAATTTATGGCAATAGTTAACAGGTCAGATTTTAGCCGCAAGAAATACAGCAAATTATATCTAGTAGCATGATCAACACAATGCATAGTACTTGTAGCCATGGCTCACAGGACTAAGACCCAAAGGTCATTAGAAACCAGGTGAGAAAGTTCAGTGCTGATAGTAGTGCTAAAGGGAAGCGATATTCGAGTGGTTTTAGCTTCCACACAACTAGAAAACTTAAAATCATGAGTATGCATACCACTATTCTTGACAAACAAATTTTGCCGAAGCGTGGCTACAAGCTTGCTAGAATGTGGGTGGCCCATAATTGAATGCCACAATTTA